CACCTGGTTTGCAATGGCAGAAAGACTTCAAAATTCTTCGTCGCGGTTTGTCGATCATCAGTCGTGTGTCTTTTATACCCGTTGATGAGCTATCTAAAAACTGTGAACTTCACTTGTCCGCATGCCCAGAAAATCCTCGCTGACCCCAACCATCCTTTACATGGTGATTTATCTAAATGCTGCTCTCATACGTCGACACGTTCTTCTTATCGATTATTACCCTCTCGCATTAGTCTCTACAGAAATTCCCCAGTTCCCTACCTTGCCAGAATCCTTGTAAACCGTGAGCGCGCTTCCTCAGAATTTCTCAGTAACCTTAAAGGCTAAATATTTTACTTGTATCTTTCCTTCTATTGATGAGATGTGTATATTTTTGACTGAAATGCGAACATTCTGTTCCCGCAAAAGTCTATGCAAATACAAATACAAATACATAGTCTTCCTTGTTCCCAGCTACTTACCTGCAGAAGTGCTTATACTCGCTATCACTTGTATTTTATGTTTGCGACCAAATAAAGTTAGCAAGGTTTCTAACGGTAACCGCACATCGATCTGGCACCGAGGTGAACCAGTGGGATTTACCGGAGTGTTCACAATACCGTGGATAGAAAACCGTCTTTCAAAGATACGTTACTCTTTCCCCCAAAAAGCCGCGTTTACAAACGCCGAGTTCCGGTGCTCGGAGATCATCCAGTTTTTCCGACGCGGTGCGTTTAGTGTTCATGATTGGTCCGGGTCGTGCTAGATTATCTTATTCCCAATGCGAAATTTATATATTTATTTATTCCGGCGGTTAAGTTCATCCCGATATTTCGCGTGACGGTTTGGACAGTAGAGTGTATACCATCACTTCGCTCTGGAGTGTCTTCTGGGACATGCACTATGAGATTCGTGCGTACGTGACGGTTACATTTTCTCGCTCAACTTATTTAAACGAAATTATCCACATGTGTCAAGCGAACTATCCGCGTACCAATCTTTGTTTTTATTTGATTTGCACGTTACACTTAACGTTCTTCTGGCATTTTGTCATTCTTCTCCCTCACCTGTCAAATCTTGTTCACAGGTTGTTCGAGCGCTTGATCAACTGACCGGTGAAGAGGTGGCTATCAAAGTAATCAAGAATAAACGGTCATTTTTACAGCAGGCTGAGATCGAAATTAAGCTGCTTCGCGAAATGGCTGTTTTCCAAATGAACGATCAAACGGCTGCTGAGGTTGGGGCTAATTATATCGGTGAGTTTCTCCGATAAACACTACGGCTTGGGCTAAGATTCACATATTACTTTGGTGGCTGACCGTGTTACTGTCAACCGAGTCGCGACAGTCATCCATCACTAATCCTATCCTATCCTATCCTATTTTAACCTCCCGTGATTTGTCACTCTAAGTTCCTAAACCAAAATTACCGGTATTAGTTCCTCTTTAGAATTGTGCATAACCACATGATAAATAAGCGGAATATCATTTCTAAGGCTATCTATTGGTATCCAACAGCAACACTGTAGGGTATTCCAAGTCTACGGCCATTGGGAATGCTTGATATCCGTCCCGTCATCAGGCACCGGATTGGAGAATAGGCGGTTCACCGTGCATAGTTGAATAGTGCTTCCTAAATAGGCAGTTGCGGATGACCAGCAGCAAGATCACCCAGTTTTCTGCGTCTTGCAATTCCTTAGTACATATCGGACTTCATCCTCCTGAGCACGTCGGTATGTTTGTCCTTATATCAGAACTCGGTGTCGACTTCACTGAGTGCAATAGTTGTCCATTGGAGGCCAGTAATATGCCCGATTCATTAAACAGAAAGG